TTTCCTTTGCACCTCCTAATGCAAACCATAAGTGTATATATATCTATATATCTGTATATAACTAAATAGATACTGGTTAGGCCTTGCTCCTTAAATGACCATATGTTGCTGTGAGGCAGAACCAGATACCTGCATTCTGAAATGTTTGCTCATTATTTTAATCACTTACATTTAGACCTTGGCTAACAATCTATATGGCTGTAAATCTAAAAAACAAGTAGGAATAGATATTTCATTTATAGGACTACACATGATGTACTTCCCATATTATCAAAAATCACTTAATAAAGATTTATTAAATTTTTAAAATTTGTTACTTCACTAAGAATTAAACTAGTCATGCTCTGTAGGAATGCTTTCTAATACTCTCCTCAGTTTATACTCCTCTGTAAAGAACTTACCAGTCGGCTCTGTAGTATTTTTTCTCCATAGAGGAGGACTATATTCTTTCAGTTCCATTCATTGTTACATTCCATTTGCTGCTTTACTAGGATGTCCTGGTTTAGGGGACACAGGATTAACAAAGTCTTCCAAGTATTGTAACAGGAAAGTAATACATTCACAAAAATTCTCATTAAAGTCCTTATCTTCAAGTTACAAAAGACTGCACTTTTTAATGATTAAAAACCACATACTGAAGCAGCACATACTTAGAGAATGATTTTGACAGTACTTGGGTTGCATGGATTTGGGAAGATCCTCTTTCTGCTATCCCATTCTTGTGTCTTGGAGCTCTTTTACTGCAGTAATAAATACTGAACTATTACTCAGGAACATAATATGTGTTTAGCAATGCCTAACTAACACATCTCTTATTAAAACAAATTCAGTATGGAAATGTACAGTTTTAAATGCAGAAGATCAAATTATATTTGGGGTTGTACAAGGTAAGGCTACAAGTACAACTAAATAGCACCTTTGCATCAAAGGTGCTATTTATTTCTTGCAATTTATATATTGCAAGATTTATGTCTGTTTCATAATAATCTGTGAGGATTCCTAATTCATACTATATTATTTTTAAAATTCAGAAGGAACTCTATGTAATTCTAATCACAACTGGAATACATGATGTAAGAGCAGATGAGGTACATATCTGAGCAGAGATAAACATCAGAGCTTGTTGGGATGAATTCCTGTGCAGTGCTCCTGGTGCACCACCTAAGAGCCATTACTTCAGAACAGTTTCCCCTCCTCCAAATTCCCTACAACATGTACTGAAAGGAGGAGTTTCAGAATCAGGGCCTACTTCCAATATGCATCCTCCAAAAAAATAAACAAATAAACAAAAAAATCCCCTGCTGGCCTATTGTTTTAAATGAAGGGGTTCTTGAAGTGCCTTTGTAGATTACTTTTGCAATGATGTGTGACACCCAACCTAATGTAACAGAACCTGATTTAAAAAGTAAAAAAAATCTGCTTTAGACAGGAAAATGAGTCTAAAGTGCTAGATAAGTGATCTTTTATGATATATGTGCTTTATTCTACCCTAAACATTGAATCTGTCAGACCCAATCTAAGACAAATATTATCAAACAATATTCTCTTCCATTTTATCTTCATTTTATTAGCTCCTTACAGCACAGACTAAGCAAAATAATCTTAAACTTCAGAAGACAAATCTATCTGTCTGTTTTCTGTGCTTGCCATATGTGATCTATTCATCTTAGGAAATACCCTCAGCTAAGTTGGTGTGAAGCTGAAAGACTGTTCATTCTTTAAGCAGTGTGATGCTCCTGTAGGCAGCCACTCAGCTCATCTGGGACATTTCTCCTTATTCCTGCATTCTCACAGCCTGCTATTTATGATGCAGGCCTGCATAAATTCCCATAACGATCCATTAGTATCCTGCTTTCTTCATGCCACAGTCAAGGTACAGTAGTTTCGTAAGATGTGTTACCTGCTGATTATCACAACACAGACTTTGACAAAACAGATATCTGCTGATTGTCACAACACAAACATCTACTGCTGTTAAATAACACACCCTTTGGAGGAATTTCATTGCACTGCAAGAAGCTTTTAACTTCACAAAAGACTTAAATTGAAATGTACACATTACAGACCGTCTTAGACTGCTCACATTCTGAATCTTAGAACTGCTCTTAGCACCAGTTTTTAAATAGTGGAACTGTCTCCTGTATCAAGAGACCTCTAATTTTAGTGCCCTGTTTTATAAAGGCCATATCCCACCCCTGAATTTACATGTATATCACTGTCTGGTTTGTTGTCTAAGTTTTAAAATTCTAGACTGGAGAATCAGAGGAAGCCAGAATAAGCCACTAAATATGTGAATTTCATAAATAACTGAGTGAAAAACAATTAATTAAATTACTGAACTTATTTAGTAAATTGAAAATATCTAACATGCCAATAGCAATACTTCTGTGCTATTAGCCTCAGAGTAGCTCAACTTCAAAAATAGTAACCCATAGTTCACTAATATTAATATGGTGAATTAATATGCTACCAAGAAAATTTAATATTTTCAAGAAAGCCAAGAATCTGCACATAAACAATGTCTGCCTTTTAGCAGAATGTGATTTAGTGTCTAAGAAAACAGAGGGGGGAAAAGCCCTTGCTCTTTCTCCTTCAAAACAGACAGGAGTGTGTTTACTTTCACCAAATATCTGCATGTGTGACACTGTCATAAGCCTTCAGTTGCTGTAAAACTTTTTATTCTTTCCCATAAACATCCTGCACATGCATCTCCCATGACTGTGCCCTCAGTCAAGGAGGAAGAAGTCCTAAAAGACTGTCAGTGTATTCAGTCATGAGCTCCCAGTGGGAAGCCAAGGCAAAGGACACAGTTCTTATACAATGGGCAAAGGTACCTACATTCCACAGTGCCAAGCAACCATCAAATCCAGAAGTTCCTAGTCCTTACCCTTGCCCTACTTCAAGCATCTGGGAATCATTGAAGTCTTGCAAATAACTGAAAATATTACCTGACTGGTCACTGATCACATCTTGCTAACATGTACATTTGATCTTATCCTAATTTTCTTGTCCCTTTTACCCCATATTGTGAGACAGGATATTAAAATAAGTTCTTATGCCTTTGACAAAGTGTAACAACATTTGCCAGACAAAATGTCAGAATTTTCTCCTAGATGTGTTATTATTATTTCTCTAGAGCCATAAAAATTGGCATACCACAAATGTCAACGGTGCCTTAAAGTCTGTCTTAGTGGGGGAAAGGGACTATAGAATAGTATGGTTACTTCTGTAAGGGAAAAAAACCCCAAAATTTCCTAAAATAATTGTTGGATAAAATAAATGATACAAAAAAAGTCATTACAGTGTAGGATCTCTTCCTGCAATCTAGGATTAAGTTTTTATCATCTGTGATTAATATACCCACATCCAGGTTTTGCCAGTAAACTCTGATCCTACATTGCTGTGTTATCTCTTTGTTTCTCCTTGTTTATATTATACTGCATTGCCTTACAAAAAGGAAACTAAAAGTGCCATTTGGGATGTATGGCAGGATTTTTAATATTTGTTTTGGCAGATCTTAGTTCAAATACAGATTTGGTGACAACATCAAGAGTCAAACACTATCAGTTTGTTGTAAGGCATGTATGCCTACATCAGAAAAATAATCAGGCAAGAATTTAATTAGGCAAGTGCTAAATCAAAGAATACTTTAATACACTGTATTTAGTTTTCAATAACTACAACAGACAAAAACATGGAGACAAGATCTCAACATCTACAGTTAATTTGAAAAGACACAAGCAGAAAAGACTACATCACTAAACCAAATTCTGCCTGTTGTGCCATGACTAACAGATTTTCTTGTGAGTGTAGAATTCAGACTGCTATATCTGTACCACCTGAAAATACAGACCCACAGAGCAGCGGTGTAAGTTTACAAAGGAGACAGACACATTGAGGAATTTACTACAAACAGAAAGAAAAATTGTCTGTAGCAATGAAAGCTCCAGTCACTAAGAATAGAAACCCTTTTTTCAGCAGAACTGTTTTTGGCATTGACCAGTCATTTTTCATTTTTCAGCAGCACATCAGAACTTTCTACCATGTTTATCTCTTGCTCAAACTAATAAACTCCTGATACAACTCATAATACCCCTTATCAAATTGTCACGCATGGCTGTGTTTGTTAACTTGCAACAAGAAAATGTTTATCTTTTTGCTACAGTCAAAGCAAGAAGCAGAATTGAAAGTTGTTGTAAGGAGCAGCTGGCAAGTGGCCTGAAGTCTAGAAACTTTGCTTTACTCTTCTATTTTTTTGTTCCCATGCCTTTTCTCAGCCCAAATTTTTCTGTATTCCTGATGCTAAAGACTGGCAATAATTATTTACATCCTAAAAAATATTCCAAAATCAGGTACAGCACCTTGAATTTATTATTTGTTCTTTCCAACCTTTTAACACCTGAGTGTTAAATGCATACATCAGGACTGGGAGATGCAGAATCATCATACAGAACAGAAACAAAGTCCCTGTCTCCCAAATATATCTAAAACTCAATGTTTCTGCTGTAATACTGCAATACTCTGGTCCTTTAGCATAAAATACTTAATTATCTTCAAGTGTTCTGTAGGCAGAATAGGAAAATATATTCTTCTGGTCTCCATAAAAAGATGAAAATATATAATAATGTCAATACCACCCGATAATGTGCTTCATTAGAAAGGGTTTTTTGGGGTTTTTTGGTGCAATGAGATAAAACTTGCTATTACAGGAATTGTAATATACTCTGTGGATTTGCTATTCAAGGATATATATAATATAGAATACTCTTTATATAATAAAGAGTATATATATCTATATAAAAGTATTATAAAGAATAATATATAATACTCTTATAATATATAAATACTCTGCTGGTATTAACTCCTAGAGAAATCAGTTAAAACTGTGTCATTAAAGCATGACTGTTTTGTTTGCCAACCAGAGTTGTAGGCAGTTTTTCAGTTCCATTATTAACAGTTATAAAGGAAATTCTCTTTGGGAGTTGGTTGAGATGAAACTCAAGATGTAGTAGTTCACCATCTCTTGCTATCTTGTGGGTGACGTCTGAGAAAAAATCAGTGAAATGCTAAAATAGCAGCGACAGAAGTGCAGCGCGCTGTGCCTGCTGAGCAGCCGCCGCTGCAGCACAAAGGACAGAGGCGCAGGGCGGCCCTGCAGGAGGGACCGGGGTGCTCCAGGCCCCGGGCCGGCTCTGCGGGGTGCTGTGACAGCCTGCTGGCCTTTGGGTGGCCTTTGGGGGGACACTGCCTGCACACTGCGGTGTGCTGTGACAGCCTGCTAAAGGTGGCCTTTGGGGGGACACTGCCTGCGCACTGCGGTGTGACTGCCTGCTAAAGGTGGCCTTTGGGACACTGCCTCCACGCTGTGGTGTGACTGCCTGGTAAAGGTGGCCTTTGGGACACTGCAGGCATGGCCGGGTCCTGCTTTACATGAAAATCCAGAGGCCAGAGCAGCCTAATTGGTGTCATTTTTCCACTCACACAGCCCCCTCCGGGATGTTTGCAAGGCTCTTATCAGGAAATTGCAGCTGTGGCTCTGTACCTACCTCTGCTTTTGGGTGGGTTTTTTGACTTCTTGGAACTTTCTGTTTATTAACTAGATAATCTGGAAAGGAGGAGGTAGGAATGGAGCTGGTACAGAAAGATACAGTGTTTAAGACCAGAGCCGATATTCCAGACCAAAACACATTCTGGAATTGGGTGACAGCTGTATTGCTCCTTCTGGCAGGTGAAGTGCTGGCACATGCCACCTGACCTCACCTGGGCCCCAGTCAGGGCATTTGGCACCTCCCTGTCACTGGCCAGAGGGCAAATCAGGGCCTAGACCTTGAATCCAGAACCTCCTGCTGAAACATTCACCTCCCGATGCTCAGACTGGAACCAGAACTCTGGATATGTTTTCATTTCAAGTATGTTTGAAGAAAGGATTTGTTTCCTTTTTTGTTTTAGACACACACAGAGTCTTAAAAGAATAAAATGGTGACATTCTTGTACAAGTTAGAATAAATCCATAAAATAAGATTTTATATGAATTATCAAAATACTGAAGGTAGACTATTTGAGTATGAGCCCAGATTATATCACAAAGTCCACATTTGATTCAGACTACAGTTTGGGAATCTTGTGGGCTCACTCAGTTCTCAATATTGCCAACTGCAGTCATGGGATAATTTTGTTATGGATTAGGTCAGCACTTCAAAAAGGACTAGCACAGATTCCCTGGATTTATACAGGAAGATCTTATTCTTTCCTCTGAATAAAAATTAACCTGCTGCAATCTTGTTTGGTATTTACATTGTTCTCACAGCTGAGAGCTCCAAAAGTCTCAGATGGTAGTCACAGCAAGGCTGTTGATTTTGTTTTTAAGGGAATATACAAAATACAATCTGTCATTGGAAAAGTAAGGAAAATTTTGAAGTGGCTTCTCCTTAAAAAAAGAACAACCCAAGCCCCAGTAGTCAACAAAACTAATTCTGGTTAAGAATTCCAGTTTTTCAGTAAATTATTTATTGGGTAATCTCACCCGTTAAGTCTAACTACTGAATAAATTCATCATCTCCAAACATTTCAGCTTCTATTTTAATTTCTTAAGTATAAAATAGGTCATATCTTGATGAAAGTATTATTATAAAATATGTGGTTTCTTTTAATGATTTTTATTCCCTTTCATTGATTCCTTGTGTTGCTAAAGTGTATGTACACACTTTTTTTCCAGCTATAGCTGAAATTATGTCAGACATGGACTTCATAACTGACATTTGCACTTGTTGATAATACAATGATAAAGATCTGCTTTAGTCAGAATCTTGGCACTAAATATTTAAATATGGGAATAAAATTGTATGCACTCAAAAGTTAAGGAAAAATAAAAGCATTTGCACATATTTAATCAGCCATAAATAGCAACAAATTAACAAAGTCTGAAGCAGTTTAATATAATTGAGAAGTGCAGTAGTGACCATTTATTCCTGGAGCTTATTTTTTATGCACTTCTGCTTCCATAACTAAGCATTCAATGAAAAGCTCCATTGCAGGCTGTGATGAATCCTTCCTTCCCCTTTACTTCTGGCCACATTCTGCTGCTTTATTCTATATTTTATATATTATTCTACATTCTATATTTATTCTATAGACTTATTTACAGCATGTGAGTAGTGGTTTCTCTCTTGCAGTTGCTACTCCCTTTGCTACAATACTTCCCTTTCCCACCTCTTTCTCTAGCCCACTGTGGAATGAGGTGGCTTTATCCGAGCTTTCCTGAGCAGCCTCCTTGTGCCACAGCCCGGAGCTGCTGCCTGCGCTCGAAGCCTGGCTCTGGAGTCACCTCCCCACAGGTGACAGCACAGGAGCTGCACAGGGACCCCTCAGAATGGGCTGGAACAGAACTGACATTATCTTAATTTGGTAATGTCCTTTGCATGTCCTTTCTTCTATTTTTGTTTCTCTATTAGGAGACTGTTGGTAATCAAGAATTTTATATATAATAAAAACCTAAAATGCTGTTAATGCTCTTCCATTTTGTAAAAGAATCAAAATATTCTCATATTACTCATTTCTTGGCATATAACAAATACACTAATATCTTTTCCACTGTGGAAATTCTATTTGAAAAATTACCTACTTGCTACTGTTCTAGGTTTTAGAGCAATTTGTTTGTTTCAGTTAATGTCTCTTGGCCCTATAATTAAAAGAAACTAAAATCTCTAAGAAGAGGCTAATAGAAATTTTTGCTTTGCTAATATTTAAGAAGACAAACAGAGAAAAAATACTATCTTTTACAAAATGTTTGACACTGAAACCTACTTACAGCCTATTCCCAATGTGCTGTTAGCTGCAGTGGACAGTTTTACAGACGAGTTTTGCAGTCCTTCCTCTGAGGCTATATCATATCCAAAGATTTTTGTGACATACTGTTTCATACCAAAATTATTTAAATACTTAAACAATTTGAAGCACGTATTTGAATTCAGAAATTTAAGTACACATCTCAAACCTTATGCTTGATTCTCATTTTCTAATGCTTATTCTTCAGTGATAAAAATGCGTAAAACAAAATGACAGTTATATGCTATTTGCTGTTGTGTGCTTTTTTTAAAAAAAATTTCCATTAGATGCAGAGTCTACGAGTGTCATTTGGAAATAAAAAGAATGCTGAACATACACCTTGGTACTTGGCATGTTTAGAATAAAAACATAATATTAATAGCTCTATTGGTTTCATACCTTGTATGTAACTGTAATTATAAAGGCTGGAAAAGCCTCAAGCCAGTCTGTGTTATACCTTCCATTTATGTCAGAAGGTGCTAGGGATCATCTTGTGATCAGTAGTCCAAATAGGAGCACTGAAATATTGATGTGAAAATTTCAAATTAATGTAATGACTGTTTTCTATTCTCTGTCTATACATTAATTTGAAATGCTGTTGCATCTTGCAGTGTTTTATGTTGAAGGACATATTCCAGCCTTTTGACCTGTGAATACAAAATTGTTCAACACTGCTCATTCTGTCCTTCTAGAAAGGAGTTTTCTTGTTTCTGTACTATTTCTCTGCGCAGCACAAGTTCTGAGCCTCAGTCATATCAGCAAGCCTGCTTTGTGACCTGTAGGACGTGACTTGACCTGTAAGATTTTGCTGCGTGAAAAATAAGACCCATTCCTACAGGAGAATGAAGAAAAGCATCTCCCTGGAGATTAAACTTTTATATTAAACTGCTATGGTGAATCCACCCAGTTAGTTTCTTTCCTGTGTCACCAAATATTTTGAAGGGTATTTAAAGATATTAGCAGACCCTGTCAGAGGGACCATGCGACACCATCTATAATTTCTGTTAAGCGAGTCAGTGAAGTCAAGAGTACATTTAACACAAAGCAGTGACAGTATTGTGTGTGCCCCACACTCAGCTACTGAAATAAATGTTACCAGCACTGCACATGTCAAACTGATGATGTATTGCTCTGCAAGACCAAGAAAACAACAAACCATGTTTACATGTGTGTGTTCTGCCTTCTCCTTCCAGAACTGTAAGACTGCAGGCTCCAGGGGAACCTGCCACCCAGCAGGAATAAACTGTGCCTGGGAGATCCCTGGCCATCTCTCCCTTCATGCGAGGAGCCACAGGGCAGGACTGCATTCCCAATGGACTGTGACTTCCTCAGAAGCCTCAGCAAGAGGTATGGCCACACAAAGACCTTCTGAGTTGAGTGAGCATAGAATACCTGACAACCCACAACGTCTTCTTCAGGTATAATCATAATTTTATTTTGAGACTGTATAAAACCACGATTTTAATATTTCGGTGCTTTTAAATAAATGTACTGAACAGATCTATGAATTTCATAAATGGCCTGATGTGTGTTTCCAAAAGCAGTGGCTCACTTACAGCAGTCATTTGAGTTAGCTTGCAAAATATCTGTCATATTTTTAGATACAAAATGCTAAATTCTTATGTAAAAAACAAGTTAGTTGTACCAAAAAAATTAAGCTCTCACTCTTAAGCCAAACCAGACCCCTCTTCATAATCCCATGCAGTTATCAGCATGTCTCTTGGATTTATGACTTATGACATTTATTTACCAACAGGTGGTTGCATATCTTGCCATTTATATTTTAAGCAACAGTAAACACAACTAAAAATAATATAAGACAAACAAAATAAAACAAAACTCAGTGGTGTTTTTAAAGTGTTTTTAGAGAAAAGCTGTATTTATAAGCTAGGTCTTCAAGTAGTTCTCACCAGGCCCAGCAATACAGAAGAACACTGCAAGAGCAATAAGGATTTTTAGGGGCATTATGATAGTGTAATGGAAACACATCTGCCCCCAAAAGTCCCTCATTTTCCCTGCGGTTAAAAGCCATGCAGGATGTGGTGAATGCTGTGGAACATCAAGAATGAAACTATAAAGAAAAGATTTTTAAGTTAGAACAACTTTTCAACAATACCTCAGGATTTCATCATTTTCTGTTAGTCCACTGGATAGTAAAACTGTAGTTTTTCAAGGATCCTCTAATTCATTAGCTCTGGATGTAGAAAATGGTTCTATCCATGCAACAAAGTGAATTTTGAGGCAGCTATCTTAGAAATACTATTATTGGGAAGCAAAATACATTTTGCATGAAGCCCAGACAATACAGGACAATTTTTCTTCTTTCAGCTCTCCAAAAGAAAAAAAAAAAACCAAAACAAAACCCCAGGATAACCATAATTAACTGTTGACCTGCATTTCTCATTTTTAAGGATACTTCAGTGACAGAGTGAACATTAGTTTACAGAAGAAAATTATACATAATAGAATTATAGAACATCTTTTTAAACAATTTTACTATATTTTCCAATGAACAGTCTGGGCAGTTTTCTATACATACAGAAGGACCAGTCAGAGTGAAAATACAGAGTGGAATCCAAATTTAGTAGGCTGAATTATCCATGTTTATAATATCATTAGTAAAACAGGTAGCACATTTGAACTTTAAGTTTTGCCCATTCAATTGCCATGCCAAATGAAAATTTACTATTTTAAAACAATCCACACTGAGTAGCACCTAACAGGCATGTTCTTCACAGATTCTTTTAGTACAAAGCATAAAATATAACAATAATATTGTTAGAAAAAAAGCAATTTTTCAGGTTATTTAATACTATGTTCTGGGTAATACATTTGCCCTTTGATCATGTTAAAATATGAAAAATTAAATAAATTATTTTCTCAGGTTCCAGAAATTTAAACATGATCTCACTTGCATTTCTTATGGATGTAAATCCAGTGAATTCAGTGGAGATACTTCTGACTTAGAGCAGCATCCAGGCACCTACTGACAGAGGTGTGTGTGCTTTGTGTGATTTGAAATAGGCCTTTGATTACAAAAAAAAGCTTTAATACAAACAACAGCAGCATCAAAGCAGAAAGCCAGATTTTGCTGACCATAAACCAGAAATTTTTAACAGCAGCAATGTGTAACATCTAGAAATGCCCTTTCAGTACAATTACTGCATTCACTTAATTTTTCCTGATGCATGTGGGCCAGTCCTGAAACATCCTGAAATTATTTTTCTCACCTTGTCCTACAACCTTGCCTTGCCAATACATGCCTTGTAGATGACAAAACACATTTTATTTTTTTTTTGGGGGGGGGGGGGGGGGGGGGCATTCTGTTTTAATTCTTGTCCTGACCTGCAAATGAAAATCTTTACTTTAAAAATTAGTAATTTTTTTAATAGTCTAGATACTATTTTATATGTATTCATATAGAAAGGCCATGATTGCAGTAAAAGATTTGGACTGTCTGACTGAAGCTGAGATATTTCAAATAGCAAAAATGCATCAATACTACTTTATACTGTTGAATTGTAGTCTCCCCAAATAACAGCTAAATTAAAATTAACAGTATTAACTGAAAATATCAAAATAGTTTTATTTAAAAGTTTTTCATTTATATTAACAATGTAAGTATTCAGCATACTAGGAAATCACATAGGACTCAAATTTTTAAGACTTCTTTTGAGATGAGCTAGGAGTAGGTATGCTCCAAACAGGAAAAAAACCCAACAAAACCCTGGAGCCTATGTGTAGAGAAGTATGATTCCAATATTTTAAAAAAGTGTTGGTAATTCAAGAGCCTTGTATCCAACAGGGAGTCAGAGATCAGGGGTAACCTCCTGGAACCAACTGCTAACGTGTAGTCCTGTCAGCTACCTCACAAAGCCAGTTACCTTACTAATGCATGGGCCTTTATTGCTGTTGATATTATCTTTATTTACTCTGTAGGTGTTGTAAGAAAGGTCCTGAAAAAAATTCCCAAGCTGAATAAAGCCTATCCATTCACACTGGAATAGAGAATCAATGTCCTTGCCCCCAAACCTTGTAAACAGGAACTATTTGGGCATTTTGACAACAGGCAAAACCCCCTGGTTCTTTGTTTCTTTTTTCCATGTTTATACCTTTACCAAATTCTCTACATGTTTGCACTGTTTGACTGAGAATAGCATATGGCATTGCAGCAAGGGATTAGTGTAGTTATTAACTGATGTGCACTGTGAATTGGGCAAATGATGCTTTAAATTCATTGATTCCACCAGAAGCTCAAGCCACGTGGTGTGAACCACTTTTCTACCATGTCTTCCACTACAGGTGCAGCTTCCAGGTGACAGCAGTGGTTTTTCCCCAAATCTTTTAAACCCACCTACAAAAATCCACTTTGTTTTGTTTTTGCTACATAGGCTTCTAAATACAATTTCCAGGGCAGGTAAAATGATCTTCTGAGTGATGTCTTTAGAAAATACGCCTGAACAGACTGGTTTGTGTTTGCATAGACCTTTCTTGTGGCAGGAGGTCCAGGTTCTCCGCAGGGAAGCAGTGCTGGTGTGTAAGACTGCAGCAGGGAGCAAAGAACAAGGCACAGTTTAAAAACCACACCTTGAGGGTCTGTGTTCTTGCCCTGGAAAACTCTGGATAACTTCCTAGGAAAGGACAACTGATTCTGCAGCCTTTAGTAAGGCAAAAATTTTAATTGTTCCAGGTCATGAGTTTCCAAACTTGGGGTCGTTATCTCTCCGTCTCTTTTTCTGCGTCTGGATCAGAGCGGAGTCACAAAACTTTTCTGTTGCAACACAGGATCAGGAGGTGTCAAAGGTTGAGGCCTTGCTTCAGAAAACACAGGCCCCAGAGCAACCTCCAAACCATGCCACAGGATCTGGTGGAGATCCTGATCTTTTCACTGCTTTCAATAAAATTTCAAAAGTAAACAGATTAGGTCATTTAGTAATCCTCTGCTGATTCAGTGTGTTTGTGAGCTGGTTTTTTAAAGGTTTGCTTAAAAATGTAGAAAAGTCATTCTGAAAATGTAGTTTTAAATTTATTCTAAATAGAAAGATAGCTAGTAGGACATTCAATTTCGTAAATTATAAATGTAATAAATAATTGGGGTTGATATTTCTAAATATTTTTATTTCAATAATTAATTACATTTTTATCTGAAGAAAATTTAAATTTTTATTACAAACAGACCATCTACTTTTTATCTTCTGTAAATTTCTTTTTTTCATATCAAATAGCAAGATAGATTGATCCCAGATATTGAATTATTAATACTGTGGATACACAGTGCACTTCAGGAGTCTCAGCTCTGAGGCCAGCACCCCAAGCTGCACGCAAACCTGCTGGGAAAACCAGTGTGAGGGAAAGAGATCAAATTTTTATAACACAGATGTTTAGAAAATCTATCAATGTTTTGTCTAATCATCATTAATTTAAGTAAAACATACAAAATGAACATACATTTAAAGATTAAAATATACACATGATATCTATAGCAGCAGATATAGATGCTGCTGTTGGTTATATATGTGCTGTTGGTTCTACTGCACACCAGAGACAAACAGGAGCTCTTTCTGTAAGCTTATTGATGGGAAAAAAAATGTGAATAAAAATATTGTATGAGGGAGGCCTACGGAAGCGTAACTGTGGTCTTTAACACTGCTTATTAATCATTTAAGTAGTGTATTAATTCTATAGCTAGGTTATTGGTGCTAGAAGCAATGCAAGTGAATTTTATATATCCTCAGTAGAGAGCCAGATAGAATCTATTTTAAAAAATAATCTAAAAATAGATGATTAACAAAGTGTGATCTTTACATCTTACTGGAAGTAGCTGCACAAAATTACGTTTTAATTTAAGAGCTTTTAAGTAACAGTTGGTAAGAAGCAACTGTGGTATTTCAGCAGAGCAGAGCTGATCTTTGCTGATGTTTGGATATGTTTCTCTTTTCCCTTAAAGCAAGATCCTCACATTGATCCACTTTCTCATCTCTAATTCTCTGCTCTTACATTCTCAGAATACTAGAGAAGCAACCACAGGAATTAAACCAATCCAAATCTGACAGCTAGGAAGATTGGACAAGTCTGGAATGTATTCACAAACTAAGTACTAATTTACTCTAGTATAAGTCAAAAATAAAAAATTTCTACAGTTACATTTTTAACTTAATTGGCTTATGAAAAATTAATCTTTCATAAATGCTGCTTCTGAACAGTATTATTGTAATGGAAAATAGTAACTAAAAAGCATATTAGCACCACAGTTATTATTTAATCTAAGCTCCTCCAAATCAGATTTCAGTCTTAAACAAGTGAGGAATTTGTTGCACTGATGTTTGGATACGTCCTATTTCACTTTTGTTGCAATTATATTGCTAAAAAATGTAAAATGTGAGAATTCTATAGAAAAATCTTGATAACTCATCCTGATATTCATTTGCATAAATGTACAGATCCTGCATGTAGTCATCAGATAAATCACATGCCAACAACTTTGCTTTCACAGTGTATCACTGTCTCACTTCAGCTGAATTTCCAGGCCTTTTTGAAATAGTCAAATTGATTCAGTCTGTATAGGTCAACTCTTAAAATTAACCTGACTGCAGTGACAATGTGATCACAATGTGAATGTCTGGATGTTTATGTGTAGCTTAAGCAGGTGATTGATTAGCTGGCATTAAATGTCAAAACTATGCCAGACACCTTTACACCAGCTGAGCTCCCGCATATATGTTATGTGAATATGCTGAAACATTGTAAAAATTACAATTTGTATCATGTGTTCATTTACTGTTAAATATCTGTGCAGTATAGTTGGAACCACGAGAAAGTTCAGTACCTCTACCAGTGTTTTCAACACTTTCTAGAATCCCATGAGGAAAGTACAGCTGTGTAACTTTTAAGTAAAAATAATACTTCAGTTATTCAGGATATTGATACAAAAATGTAAATAGTAACATGAACTTAAACAGGTTTACCCTGCCTTACTCACAATAATAAATTCCACAACTTTTACCAGTACAAAAATCAGCAGTCTTTAAATTGAATCACAGATAAAGACCATGCACATGTGGACACACACAGACACACAGAAAGGAACGTTCAAGAGATACGTTATAATGAATATGTTGTGAACAAAAAAAAAGAGGCGGGGATTGACAATACAAATGCTACCAGGGTTTAAAAGATTTTTTCAAGGTTTAAACTGCCTCTCTTTTCTGGGAACTGTCTTTTCTCCCAATTCACCTGTATTGCATGACCACCCTTTGAAAGGTGACTTTTTCTTCAGCTTTTGCTGTTTTTTTAAGAGAAAAACACCACCAACAGTTAGAAAACTTCTCCGTTTAACTTTCAGAATTATTTTATTTTCTATCCACTTTTTTATTGCTGAAGACAACATTAAAGCTAGAACATGATTATCTATTTAAAGTGCATAATAGCCCTTTACTAAGTGCAGCAGAAGTTTACTACTAAGTTTACTGTCCAGTGTAAGAGCCATAATGTGCTGTTTTCTTTTGCAGAACAAAGTGACCACCAAAAGCGGGACTTTGTGGGCCAGTTGGATAAAACATAAGCTCATCTCGCCCCCAAAACCCCGACTCTGGAACCACAGCCTTCCAAGATTCAATTTGTAAGTAAAGTATCTTTGTAAGATATGCCAAATCAACTGAGTCATTGCTTATGGAGTGGGTAATTTTCAGACTAATCAAAAGAGAACGTTATAGCCCAGTCACAATACATCCTCCTTCACTTTCTGGACAGCAGGAATTGCTAACAGATACTAATTGATTTTATTAATATTTTATGAACTATTTATCAAGCAGGTAAGAAGCACCTTTTCTAAGTGTCTATAAAATGACACAGAATAAGTTATTAGACCCAGCACTCAAAATATCTAAGATTTCTTCTCAAAGTATATAACAAGTTATTATTTATCTGTTTCACTGTATTTCAGACTAAAGTTGACACATTATAGAGAAATATCTGTCATTTTTCTAAATTTGTTATTTGTACAATAAACTACAAATTATTTTCACTTTACTTGAAAACAGGTCTCTTCCTACTAACAATTACAGTCTCAAGTATTCAGCTCTACATCATCATCTTACTACCCTCAATATTATGTTTCATAAAATCCTTCAAAGATGAGAGGAAAAGTAGAAATTCACAGACTAAAGGAACATATATTCCAAATCTTCACTTTATAATCCCAACAGAGATTCTATATAAAATTCATTTTAAAAAACATTATAGTTTACACTTGGATGGCTGAAGTAGGTTAATGCTGTCAGTTACTTTAAAAGATAGTAATTGCTGTCCTTGAAAAGCCACTATTACATTCATTCTATTTTTGATAATCAAAATGTGGAGCTGAAGAATGCTGTCCTAGCTGAACTGCCTTATAATCCCCAAATACATCCTGAAAGGAAAACGCAGAGAAGTTGATGGAAATTCCGGCTAAGTAGAAATGTTTAAATAATTCCTCTTTCTACAGACCATACATTTTAACTGACTTATTTATGTGTGATTTATTAATCACACGTTACGCTGTGATGATTTAGGAGGTTTTTCTGGCTTGCACACGACCTGATCAGACGGTTCGCACGCGCATTTGCAGTTATTTGTGCCTGGCGAAAGTCGCCGCAGAAGCCACGCGGAGGCAGCGGGACGGGGCCGGTGGCCGGACACCGTGGGGAGCGGACACCGTGGGGAGCGGACACCGTGGGGAGCGGGCACCTGTAGCTCCCGAGGGTGCCGGCACAGCGGCGAACCGCCCGTTCCCCGCGGGGCGCGGCGGGCCCGGCGCCCCGCCCGGCGCGCACCCTCCGCGGCCTGCGGCAGGTGAAGGGGGCGCGGGGCGGCGGCCGCACCTGCGGCCTCGGCGGGGACGTCGCGGGGCCGCGCTGCTCCCCGCGGGCGGGCGGGAGGCGCGGAGCGGGAGCGCGGAGGGAGAGCGCAACTCACCACTTGTCAGTGCCCGCAGCGGTGCCCCGGAGAGCCGGGACCGGGAATGGATCAGCGCCCGCAGCGAGCGGGGATCCCGCGCACAGGCAGCCGCTGGCCGGGCAGGTCCCCGTTCTTGAAAGGAGACAGCCCTCCGGTCCTCGCTCCAAGCCGGCTCCTTCCGTTGGCAAAATCCTGACTCATTACATAAAAAGATCACTCTGCCAGGCGCCCTGAAACATTTCTTCATCACGGTCACGCCACAAGCTAAACAAGAGGCCACATCAAGGGGAGGGGGAGAGGGGGGAAGCGGAGAGGAAAAAAAATCCCAGAGGGTTTTTTTTCTTTCATTAAGATCCTCTTCCTTGAAAAAAAAAAGGGGGAAAAAAAAGTGCAGGGAGAAAAAAAAAAAAAAAAAAAAAAAAAAAAACCCCAAAAAAAAAAAAAAAAAAACCAAAAAAGAGGAGCCAAGGAAAAAAAAAAAAAAAAAAAAAAAAAAAAAAACTAGAGAAGATTCACTCATTGTTACCACAAAGACACCTCTCCCCTTCCCACTCCTTCTCCATGCTCATTCCTCCAACAGTGCTACAAAGACGTGCAGTCTGCGCCGGGAGTTGTGAGCCCCAGCCGTGAGCTCCTCAACTCCGCGGGGGCCGTGCCAGGAGACCCGGGGCGCACAGTCTTCTGCGAGGAGGTGTGGTGAGTCCAAGATCGTCCGAAAATTATTTTTTTTCCTAGAAACTACCACCAAATATAGTAACAGGGAAGGGGTATTCCTAGAAATTCGGGAGACGTCAGAAAGGGAAGATTTGTGAAATTCAGCTTCACTTCCTGCAGAGGGCTCCTGGCACAGGGATAAAAAAAAAAAGGCAATAAAGTGCTTTTCATGCTTCTCTGATCAGATAATGGTTAAAAAAAAGAACGGTAAAACACTTAACTCACATTTCTCCGATACAATCTAATAGTTTTATATGGGAAGAATGCTAATCAGTAACCTCCTTTCCTCATTTTCTAATAATGTTTATTAGATGTCTATCTTCTGTATTTATTTTCTCCACATCCTCATATCAGACCTATGCACACAGCAAATAAAAGGAATATGCATATGAGTGAAAAACGGGCCAAATGATAACCCTCCCACATATCACAGAACACTGAGTGTTTGTGTGTTATTTTAAACAGGCTTTTGCCGTTTGCATCTTTCATGCTACACTGATGTGAATAATTCATGTCCCCACTGTAGATGTGTGCAATATTGTTACTCGCATGAATCGGAATTTGTAGGTTGGCTTTTGTTTAAGGGCTTTAACACCGAGTACTGCTGAGCACTGTTAGTCCCCGTGGATTTAATGGTATCTTAGGCTCTTAATTAATTCAGTTCAGCAATTCACAGGATCAGGCCCTGACCGACAAACGCAGACCCACACACTGTCAGGAGCCACATTATTCCTCATGTGTCTCCTAAATCTCTGTTTGCTTTGTGCTAGTGTCTAACACCCATTATGTCTTGACTCATATCTTCTTTAAAAACATATTTGATATGTTTCATAGGAAGCAGAATTGAATGTTTGCAAAGCAGAAACAAAAAAAAGAAGATGTTATTATAATCTTAATTATATAAAGATGTCAGTGCATTTGTAATAAAGCATTATTTATCCAGGAATAGCAAAGGTTGCTATAAAAACCACAAAGCCAGCTTTTGGGAGAAGATAATAGATTTCAATGTGTGCAACTCTTGCAGGTTAATTGGATTTCCTTAATGAAATTCCCCTCAGCCACATGAAATCCTTGAGTTTGTTCTTTGAATTTCATTATGACTTGCAGTCTTCTCTGCCCCCAAATCAAATGCAATAAAAACAGTAGAGTTGGCTTCACTTCAGTGTTTTATGAACACTCACATTTAATCAAAACTTGGTTACAGACACCTTGTCTGTCTGCAGCTTTGAAGGGGAATTAGCTGAGTTCACCTGACACTCCTGGGTGTGCTTTTACTCCTAAGTGTGTTTTAACTGTTATTGCAGTGCTCAGTAAACAATTGTGTCAAAATACAGACACAGGTTTCACCGACATGCACCCACAGTGTTTCGTTAGTAATAATGCCTGGTTAGAAGTAGATTTACTTTAAGTAATCTCCTGGAATTCAAAACAGCTCTAGTTAATTGCAAAAAGGCCTTTTTAATCTGGCTGGCTTACTTATGGCACACTGCTCCACTCTGCCTGTCACTCTCATTTCCTGAGTGAAAAACTGAATGGCAGCTTCCAGCTCAGGATCTTTTAATGATTAAAAGAAATGGATGTGCTGTCCTCTGTTGGTCATACTGGTTGTCACAACTAAAATTGAATTTAAAAGGCAGCAAGAGGCAGTTATAGCGACAAAAAAGAAAAAAAAAAAAATAAATAAAATTAAATTTGCTTCACCTTCTGCATTCACCAATAACACTGCACAGTGCAAGGGATTTTTTTTTTTTTTTTAATTATGTAATGATAGAAACTGGGTTATGGAGAGGACTTATTTCACATGACTGTAGTACAAATTCTGCCCTGGCATTCCCCAGCCCCGGCTGTTGGTTCACCCTCTGTGCCCGGGTGCCACAGTGAGCTGCCAGTGCCCTTGGGAGCCGGGGCTGCGGGGCTGCGGGGCTGCCAAGCGTGTGGGCACAGAGGAAGTTTGGGGTTTAAATTTCACATCCCCCGGTCTGGTCTGGGGACAGGGCCGAGTGTGCCCGTCAGTGCTCAGCGTGGTGAGCCGTGTGCTGTGGTGCCATGGCAGCCCCTCTGGGCACGGTGGCGATGGCAGCCCGGCCTTTGCTGGGCCATCGTGTGTGATGCACATTCCCGCCCGGCTCTGGGGCTCCCTGGGAGCCCTGCTGTGCGGAAATGCCCGCTCTGAGCGCTGCTGCTGAGCCTCGCTGGCTGCTCGCTTCAGCAGTGATATGCAGCATCTGGAGAGGATTGGGGGGATTGTAGCAAAGGTGATTAAAGGTGTAGAAAACCTGGCCTAAAAGGAGAGATTTTTAAATTTGGGTATTGTGTTGTCTAAAAAGAAGAAAGTTGAAGGTAAATAGAGCAACACTGAAAAAAGGTTTAACATAATCCATTGCGGCAGTAGCCCCGTGTGATATGTTAATTATTTCTACCTCTTAACTGCTGCTGGAGTAACTGTTTCCGGGCTGCACAAGTTTCTCCTAGGCTTTGAGTGCACAGATAGTTTTCTAATTACAAAATTAATTTCAAGTAGATAACCACAGGACATGTCTTGAAATGTTACTTAGCAACATTGTTCATCATGCTAAAAGTTCAGCAATGTTACTCAACAAAATATAAGTTCTGTCTGCAAACTGTGGAAAAACAGGCTTTGTGTTATCTGATTTCTGTGTCATCTAACACAGGCTCACAGGCCTCAAACCATTGTTAAGAGGGTGAGACACAGCCACAGCCCTTATGCATACCTGGCTTTGTCCTAGAAATATATTATTTCTAAAAAACAAGCATGAATTTATGAAAGCATTACTCATCAGTGGCAAGGTGGCTCATCTTCACCCTCCCTGAGACTGTAGTAAACAAAAAGCAGTATTTATCAGATATGTGCTTTGTCCTTGAATTTGATTTTTTGCATTTAGTTTTTACAACCCTCCTATGAAAGTAGTTTCAGGGACATGGATGTACCTCACTGTCCTTTGTATCGCTAAGTAAAAATATCTAAGAATATTTACAAAAAAGTGTAAATAGTTAAGGACATTTATTTCTGTTCATACAACAAATATACAGTTTATATTCCCGACAACAATGGTGCAGAATATGAGAAGAAGATTTGTCAGGCAGAGAACAAAATTGATCGTGTGGACATAGCGGTCAGTAAAATTTCAAATGGTAAGTAAATGTCAAACATGAATCAATAAAGATTTCCTTCAATGAGTAATTCTCTTCCTATTTACACTGTTAGTATGTGTTTCAGTGCTGTCAACCCTTAACTGTGTGGGCGGGTTTGGTGCCTGGTCCTGTCAGGTCACTGAGTTGGACCTCCTGGCCACTTACGGTGCTGCTGGATCAGCAAAGCACCAGTGTTTGTTTTACCTGGAGAAGGGGAGCACTGCTGGGCCCCTGTGAGTGTAACCACTGCACCCTTTCCTTACCCATTTTCAGTGTCACAGGGAGGTTTTTTTTTATTAGAAAATAGAAAATGTAAAGTACACACTAATCAGATTGCAAATAATTCTTCTAAGTGGTTGGTGATACAATGAAGAAACCTTATGGTTTACTAATCAGAAGAAAGAACCAAATTAATAAATACTTACATGGTGGCAGGGTGGGGGTGAACCAATGAAAGGGACCTGGAGGATTACAGGATGATTTTGATAGCTGCAGCCTCTGGAGAGAGCTCTCTTCAAACAAGAATTTGAAGGAGCTGGAGGATCTCTTCAAACAAGACCCTGCAGAGGCTCCACTTGTTCCTCCCAGGAATGACTGCATGATAAGGTAGGCACCAGCACTTGCCTCAATAGTGCTGTGTAGAAAAGGCGTTTGGCATGACTTCCACTGGGCCTCAGCAGTCACCTTGGCCTTTCACATTTCAAACCATGTTTTGTTTCTTCAGGCTGACCTGAGGATCTCTTGAAAGCAGGATTAGGCTGCAAGAATAAATTAAGAAAAACTGTTCTATTCCTGCAGATTTCAGAAGGGCCGTCCTGCAGCCGCTGAAGCATGGACAGGAATGACCGAGGTGGAGGCAGGGCTGGCACGACATTCACCAAAACCCTTTGCTGGAGCGGGAGGAGCCGCTGCCGCCGCTGCGAGACCCGTGGCTGGGTACCTGCGCCCGGGGGAGCGGGGACCCGCCCGGGGGCGTGGCTCTACTGTTGCTGGGCTGCGCTCCGGCGGCCGGAGCTCTGCGGAGCCGCCATGCCCGCACGCTCCGTGCAGGGTCCCGGCTGCGGCCGCCGGGCCGGGGCTCCGCCTTCCCCTAAAAAGGAGGAGGAGAGCTCCCGCCAGCGCGGACACGCCAAGGCACGGACGGGGTTCGAACCCGTGATCTTCGGTTTACGAGACCGACGCCTTACCACTTGGCCACCGCGCCTGCGTTAAGGGAGCTTCCTGACGCCCTTCTATCGCTGGCGCCACTCCCGCCCGCCCGCCCACGGCCCGCCCTCGCGCGCGCCTGGGTTGCCACCTGCCGGGGGCGCGCGGCCCTCAGGCGCTGAGGGCGCGGCGGCGTCTGACGGGCCGGAACGGGAGGGAGGGAGGGACGGACCGGGACTGCCGCCGCTCCCGGTCTGTTCTGGCTCTCGCTCTCCCTGAGCGTCCCCTGAGCTGCCAGGAGCGTCCCCTCCGGCTATGGAGGCGTTCCGAGGGCAGCGCCCTCTGCAGCGTCCGCCCCGGGGCTGTGAGGGTGCGGTACCCGGAGACGGCACTCGAGAGGCTGCTTCACAGCGGGCCAGCACGGCTTAGAGAGGGAGAAAAAAGCGGGATTAAAATTTTCCTCCTCCAAGAAGAGAAGCAGGAATGCAAAACGTTTGGATAACTAAATGGTAAATACTAAATTAAACACAGTTGCTGCCTGGTAGCTGTTCCCTCAAAAAACTCAGTGTTGTGAATTGCAGAAAAGATACTAGATACATTCTAGACGGGATCTCCTAGATTTTTACAAATGTGATGTGAAAACAAAGGTTTTAGTTTTCATTGAATGCATTGTGGAGGTCTGTTTAAATTCTCCATGAAACTGTTGCTTGATATCCAAGTTTTATATTCCTTTTGGTGTGGTTTTGGTTTCCTTGTGGAAGAAGCATGTGAACATATTACAGAGGTGCCATTGTTGAGATCAGAGTACTGATTCGGTAGTGCTGCAATGCAGGTGTGTTACAAGGTTGATACAGAACCAAAATAACTTGGCTTGGAAGAGACCTTCAAAGGTCGTCTAGTTGAACCACCCTGCCGTGAGGAGGGAAATACTTATGTATCCTTTTGGAATGTTCTTTGAACTCTCATCTTGGAAAGTCATGCTTGATGCCTTGAATGTATGAAAATATTTTAGTTCTTTAAAACTTATAATTTGTTTGTTTGTCTGTGATTACTCTATGCCTGCCTGTATTTAAACAGAGTGATTTTAATTAGCTTGGCCTGCAGTGAAAAGTGTTTAATTTAAATTACCTTACTGGATAAGTCAGCCCTTGTTAAGTGTGTTTGCTTCTGCCTTGGATAAGCTGCCCTGAAAGTGACCTGGTTTCTAGTCCCTATGGGCATGACTGATGGCCTGGCAATCTGAATGCTTGCTGGCATTTATCTGCTAGTCTTGTTCATCACATGCTCTCATCTGGACTATGGAAAGCTGGGAAATGAGAATAGCACTGTTGTATTCTGCTTTTGTCTTGTCAGTGTAATCACTGCAGCATTTCAAAGTGTGATGGTGTGTACGAGTGGAAGCTGCCTCCCTCAACTCTCACACCTGAAATGTTTATGAACAGGGTGACCTCAGAGAGCCACTTATCTCCCCTGGCTGAAGGAGTTCCTCTTAGTATTACCAAGCTGGCAGCAGAAAGGAGTTCAGTTTTAATCGTTCATGTTTGACTGATGATATGCCATTTCTGGCCTACTTGCTTATTACAAAATATGCTCTTTTATGTGCCATACTTGCCAGTTGTAACTTGTCATCACAGTTCCTGTGCAGCTCACATCTGTGTTTATTAATGGTTTTGGATCCTTGTGAGCTGAGAGGTAATTTTGTGGTGAGTGCAAGGGCTGTTTGAATTGTTGGTGGAATTCATGTGGGTTTTATGTCTTCAAATACAGTACATTGTAATAAATGTATTTGCTTGGCATTGGGAATAGTATTTAATGGTAAATCAACTTCTATTGATCAGGTTCTTCCTTAACTGTATGGGGAGACAGAAACTTCAATTTGAATTCATAAAGATCTTCTAACCAGATTAAGAGGAAATGCTTGATAAGGTTTAAAAAATTTGTCTACTGTGAGCCTAACTTCCTTAGTGTGTCTGGAGAAACTGTTTCTGTCTAAACGAAGTGTTGTTTAACGGTGAGCTGATTTATCGCAATAGTTTTTATAATTATAAAGTTAACGTGATTTTAAAAAACTGTAATTGCCTTTAGGTGTCTGGATACTTTTGTTTGGAAGTGTCTTTTACGCTGGCCCTTACCCTTGTGTTAAAGCTGGGTGTTGAAGCCCTTCCTCCATGCTGAATCCTCCTTGTGCGTTACGGGCTGTTCTCTTCTGACACAAGCTTCTTTTGAACACAACGTGGCTTTGCAAAAAGGACGTCTTAGAGGACTCCAGTGCTGAAAAGACACTGTCAGTGATTTTGTTGGATGGAGAAATAATCACCAGTTGGTTTTTTTTCTTTCTTTCTTTCCTTAGCCTCACACATATGAGATGGAGGAGTTGTTTTAGGAGAGGCTTTGGTGTCTGTTTCCATGTGCAAAACAAGGCCTTTCAACACATTCCCTGACTCTTCTGAGATACATACAGGGGAACAATTCGATTTATGTAGATTTGGTGCAATTGAGTTTTATAAAGACTTGCTATGGGATGCTGAGGAGCTGGAATGCTCCTCAGTTGCAGCTACTTGAGCTTTGGCTTTATCTTAGCTGTATGTAAGATTGTTTCTGTTCACTATTTTAGTTTCTAATCCACAGCACTTGTGGGTTGAAAGGTTCAAGAATGATGCAGTAGATGGCAGAATGGCCCTGCAGTCCTTTTTCTGCACAGAAGACTGGAGACTCACAGGTAATTTTTTTGCATGAAGGGAAGTATTTATCTTAGAGTTTCTCATTTCATTTATGGGTAAACACTTGAAGAAAAAAAAACCCAAGCCCTGGCTGTTGGCTCTCAGAAGCTCTAATTTGTTACTTTGATTTTGCGTTAGGAATGTCTTGGTAAAGTTGCAGACTATACTTTGAGGTGTGGGGAAATGCATGTGACTTCTTTGCCATCAAGGAAACATCTGCTACTTGAGACACTACAAATACTCTTTAAGAAATATGTCCCTCTAGCAACAGCTGTACAATAAGCAACAAGCCAATAGGCAGGAGCAAATGGCATTGAAGAGTAAAGACAAATGTGCTGATGGCCATCTGTAGAGCATGTTTGAATAAATTGAGTTTTTTATTGAAAATCAAGGTTTAGTCTGTGGAAAAAGTTCACTCAATCTCAAGTTTTATCAAGCCTTGTTTTGTGTTTACATCAAATAGTAATATGAATACAGCTTGTGAAAGAAGGTTATGTGTTTATATTTTGTCACTGTAAAACAATCCAACCCCAGACTGTCAGCTGGCACCAAAACAAGTGCTTTATCTCTGTTATACTCCAGCTGTAATTTCTTTAATGCACAAATACATGGTCAAAAAGTGCTGCACTTGTTTTGCAGTATTTGTGTTTGGTGTATGATATCAAAAGTAAGTTTGTGGCACATACAGCCTGCAAACTTTTACAATGGTTAAAGTTCACAGAGAAAAGGTATTATATGAAATTTACAGTGTTTATTAGTAATTTTTAATTTTTTTCAGTTTTAATCAATTACTACTTACTACTTTATGGAGTTTTTAATATTTGGCCAAATATCAAAACTTCTGATGTCATCAGTGTAGAACAGACTTTAATGAGGAAAGGGTGGGTGATTAGTACAGGACTGCCTTCACAAAGGGAAGTGTAACACTAAATATTTAAATGAAAAAGCTTCATCTTTAAAAGAAGCTTGTGCAAACAGCTCGTAGCTCATACTCCTGAAAAAATTCATTCAGGTGTTCCAGAAGCTGAGCAGAATGCAAATCAAAAATACAAAATCTCACAACCCAACACAACTTGAAAACCTTGGAAGAATTTGGGAAAGTCATGTATTAAAGTGCATTACAAGAGGTTTGCAGTGAGAAGACAAGGGGGAAGGGATTCAAACTGAAAGACAGTAAGTTTGGATTGGGTATTAGAAGTTCTTTACTGTGAGGGTGCTGAGATACTGGATTGAGTCACTCAGAGAAGCTGTGGCTGCCCCATCCCTGGCAGTGTCCAAGGCCAGGTTCTATGGGGTTTGGAGCAAGCTGGGATAGTGGAAGGTGTCCCTGCCCAGGGCAGGGAACAAGATGAACTTTAAGGTCCATTGCAACCCAGGCCATTCTATGAGTAAATGATGCTCTATAAAAAAATTGCTAAAAATAATGGAAATCCACACCTAAACTTCAAGGGTACAGGAAGTCTCTGTTCTTACAGATTTTGGATCTGATTTTAAAGGCAAACCATAATTCTTTGGGGGTGCAGATTCATTCTTACTCCTTTCTGTGAGAAAGGTACTTAGAACATAGGCCAAATGTATCAGACTCATAAAAGTCAGAATGATATTTTCATTTTAAGTAGTAACCATGGACAAATGAACACAGTTTTCCTTTTTTATTTGAGACACTTAGCAAAAATGCTGAAATATCAAACATTTCCTCAGTAGCTACAATATTGCCACTATGTACAAAATATTTGATAAATGTAGTACACATATAAAAATACAGTATGCATTACATATATACAGTACAATGTGCAAAACATATGGCATTCAAACATATGGAATTGATTTTAGGGGTGCAAACAGCAAATACAAAGGCATCATGGTTCTAGAAAGGCAATACATAAACTGACGCCCTGATTGCCATAATTTGCATTTAGTAAAGTAGTGCTTAAATGAAGAGGGCCCCAGAGACAGGTGTTTATCTTCTTCTTTTCACAAAATGAGATGCTAAGACATAATTATGAATATGAAAATAAGAAGAAAAACACCTACTACTAGGGTTAGCGTTATTTCTACTGCAAGCAGTACTGTGAAGAAAATCCTATCTGGAAAAAAAGCCTGTGCTATTAGTTACTACAAATTTCTCAAACAACAAAAACAAATCTGTACTGTTAAACATCAAAAACAGCTTTGAAAATATCTACATCCTTAATTTTAAAAAAGTATGGATAACACTTTTGGGGACTTAATTTCCTATGTTTTAAAATACAAAGTGCCTCCTTTGGCAATATAAATGGCAATGCTTTGGTTCCTATTTAAATTTTTATATTATTATAATTTATTTTAGGCTGTCTTTTGAATATCTGAGCTGTATAATTTTATAAAAATAGTGTGATTATATAGTTATTAACCATTCCCTGCTTTTTTTGAGAATTTGCTCTCATAGCTAGAATGGCTTTTTTTTGGCTAGATTTCTACAAATACATTTATGCACTTTTAACTTAAAAACAATTTATATTCAGTATTGGACACTACAGAATGATGTAGGTGTCTCTTTTTTGCACTTTATTCCTAGCAAACTGGTATAAAAGGAATATTTGAGATTATTTCAGGTTTTATGGATGCTCTTCATTGGCCATGTATATACTACATGTAACTCAATTTCACGGATCTCACATGAAATACCTTCTGGGGTATGGTCTAGAAGTCACTGAAAGGTGCTTTCATAGACCACAATACCAAGAGTTTCAACAGAACATTTACTAGAGATAAGTGGAAGATTTTTTTTTTCCAGTTTTAATAGAGTTTGCTTTAATAATACACTTAAGATGCCATCCAAATAATAATTGTTTACATCGGTGAACTTTCCTGTGTTTTGGTTACATAATGCCCTTCCAGTTCAATGTATCCTGTAACTGCAGTTTCTCTGCCTTGAAAATAGTTCAGCAGCTTGTGCTTGTGTTCTGATTACAGTGCCTACACTTTTGAGGCACCTGAATGTTTGAGATTATCTAACAGAAAAGTTTAATGCTGACACTTCTGTTTGGATCACCATCTTCTCTGAACATGACTCTTGTTGGTGAATTTAGAAATACCTGGGAAATAAATGTCAGTATTAAGTAGTGATCATTTCTAAAAGCTGTGGCCTCAGCTTTTTGAAGTTCTGATTCTGCAGGTCTGCAAGCCCACATTGCTGGATTACATTTTAAATTTCTGTAGAGAACAACTGCCATAATTTAATTTTATTGTCAGAGAGAGTATGACAATGCTTTTTTAACTATTTTCAATGTTAAACAAAATTTTGCCTGTGAACTTCCTTGCTGTAACTGATGCTGAAGGGCACTAGAAGTGCACAGTAAATTCTGTTTCTCTACTGAACGCAGGATGTGACTCCTCTTGAGCAACAGGAGCCTAGTAAAACATTGTCTGAGCTCTCTCTGTCTAGATGTGTAAACAACCAACTTCTGATTTTCATACTGATTAAAAGGTATTCTTAATTATTTTGAAGGACCCACTAACACCACATTTGATAGGATGCATTCTGTTAGTATACTGCAGCCATTAAATGGCAAATTTAGTGCCAGTGCATTCCTTTGCAACTGTTCTCTTAATGAGAAAGATTCAGTTCTGTGCAGTCAAACTGCACAGTCGTGATTAAATTTCTAAGATGTATCTGTGCTACAAAAATTTTCATGTAAAACATGCACACACAAAAGTCTAAGCAAAACCTATTTCTGCCATAAACAGGCATACACAACTATGGCAAACATATCACATTTCAGAACAAAGTCTAAAGCAAACCATTTTATATAAGGTTTAATACATAATTCTGAAATGTACAGGAAAGTAATCACACATTCCCTACACTAGAATATTTGTACTTCAGAAACTAAAATGATCCCTTAATTTATTTTTTTTTCAAATAGACGTTCAGAGCAGAAAGCTATACCGTACTGAAAACAAGACATCTCTACTGTTTGGGTTTATTTTTGCACAAAGATTCCTATGGATTAATTAACATTCTACACTGCCAATAAGGGTAATTTTGTAGCAAGATGACTTTGCCAGTTTCAAGCTCTATTTACATGCACATCAAAAATGACAGTACAGTTGCTCTAGGTTAATTTGTCCTCTAAAAATTAATTTACTTGCCTCTCATTTAATCAGGAGGCAGGGTCAAAAAAGGGATAACTAACCACACATGTATTGTATGATGTCTGGTGTATCACACATAATAAACTGACAGTACTGCAGAACACTAAATTTCATTCAGAGCTGTTCCTATCAGTCCTTGATTCTTATTCTCGTAACAGCCGAGGGCACTTCGTATCTCAAAGTATCAGCTCCCAAGATAGGATGATGAACAGGAATGCAAAAAGTTGAATGTTAAGTGCTCACTGTTATTGAAAAGTCCTATACCATCAAAGCTTAAGGCAGACAGTCCACATGTAATATTGTACTCAAGTATTGTAGGCACAGCAAGAAGGAATAAGGAATTATGTCTTTCAACTGCGTGTAGTGAAAATCTCCAAAGATTGTTTTCTTGTACTTAGTTTCATATTACAGTAATTCTTGGCCAGTAAAACCAGTGAAGATACATAATGATTTAAAGTGCTGTAATTGATATGATGCAAACATATGGTATCAGTTCAAACTCTGAATCACTGATGTAATCCATTATTTTATTTGAAGCCAATGGAATTCTGTCATATCAGTAAACCAGACTGCATTATAGCTGGAGATGCAAATTTTCAGTTAATTCCATAACATTTTCTGACAAAAGTATTTGTTTGATGTTAACATGATTGTGTTGTGTTTTTCTTTTCGAAAAATGTGGTGAAGGTTGCTAAGTGAATTAACAGCTACTTACTGTTTTCAGTATTTCTTTGATACGTATCATTATTCTAAGAAGTAGGCAAAAGCTTTGGGGCATTTTTTCATTCAATCCTACAAAACTTTATTTTTGAAACTTGCTGGTGAGGAAAGAACCATGCAATGAAATCAGTTTTCAGACTAG